CTAGTTATATAGGTATAAGTTTACTTATTTTAGATTAGGGTGGCTTTAATTATATACTTCTTAAGCTAGTATAGTTCTTTAAGTATAAATTCTAATATAGCAGCAGATTTAGATTTATTAATATACTATACTTAGGCAGATAGATTAATAGAGATAAGGTAGCTAATAAATTAGTTCTAATTAAGGACTTAATTAGAATCTATATTATTATGAACTAGGATGTCTAATAGAGAGATATCAGTTATTATAGTATAAGTTATAATAAGGAGATCTATAGGTTTAAAGAATATATCCTATCTAATATTAATATTTAAGATTAAATAGTAAACTAGGACTAATACAGTTAAGTAAGCTAAGATAATTATCTTAAACTTAGCTGTAACTCTTACTTTATAGCAGTTCTTATTACATTATATTGCTATAAGGATCTTAACACTATAAGACCTAATAGTTATAAAACTTTTGCTATTAATAATATTAAATTATTTTAGACCTAAATAATTTATACTAATCAGCATATTTATAAATAGATTATCTATAATAAATAGCTTATATTAAATTATAGCAATAGCTTCTTATTTAGTAGAGATTAAGGTACTATGAAAATATAGATCCAGAATAACATATTAATCTATACAATAAGAGGATTTACTAATACTTTTAACTATAAGAGGAACTAATCTAATATAAATCTTAGCTGTAGGTTAATACTATTTAAGTATAGTTCTATTAAGTAATAATAAGGAATAACCTATATCTCTATAGATGTTAAGCTGTATAGATAGATCTTAATTTAGGTTAGGAGTGATCTAATATTATAGGTAAAACTATAAGTAGAATCTAAATCTAATACTAACTTAGGTTAATAAGTTTATAGATAATCTCACTTAGATAAGCTAGATTAGCTTACTTAGGGTGGTAATTAGTAAGTTATAAGAACTACTATAATGTGAGGATAATTTACTAAAGAAAGCTATAGTAGTTAGATTTAGATTAGAGGTAGTAATATTATAATCTTTATAGATATACTTATAGAGTTAGTTATTACTAGGGAATAGTTACTTATAAAACTAATACTTTCTATAAGTTATTAAGTATAGTTTCTCTAGAGGTATTATAGCTATAAAGTAGGTATCCTTATAGCTATCTTTAAACTATATAAAGTTAAAATCTCTATTAGGCTTAATCTATTTTAGATTAGCAGTATCTATAATCTAGTTATTATAAAATAATACTTAGGGCTTATCTATATTATTAGTAACTAATAGGGGGTAGTAATTATCTAGCTTAAAAAGTAAGTATAAGGCTAATCTATCTAGAGACATTAAGGTTCCTAAGATTATAGGATTTATATTACTATAATAAGCAGATTATGCTAGATTAGCTTTAACACTTAAATTCTACTTAAGATAGTAATTCTTTAGTATTAATCTAGATTATGCTACGTCTAGCTGTAGATTAGGATTAGATTATCTATTATAGAACTAATATAATATTAGGAACTAAGTATATTAATTTAGCTAGTTTTATTAGGGTTAGAAGCTGGTTAGATTCTAGTTTTACTACTGCTAATATAGGCTAATAAGTTAGTTCTTAATCTAAGGCTTATTATTCTAACTAAATCTACTATTAGGCGAATTTTAAGGTTAATTAGTATTAAAGTTTTAGTTAAAAGTAATAAGTTAACCTATCTAGTTATATAAAATATATATGTTAATATTTTTACCTACTAAGTTATAGTTAGGGCTGTAACAGTAGGTCTATAATAACTATTTAGATATTAATATCTTTATTATAGATTCTTATTAGCAAATAGATTAGAGAAATATTTTGAGGGTAGTTATATTATCTAGAGGAGGGATAACTAATTTAATAGCTTTATTAAAAGATTTATGAATTACGTAGAGTTAGGAAGTAATATTATTTATACTATAAGCTTTTATATTATAGATTATAAGTTATAAATAGACTATAATATCCTTAATACTAACGTTAGTTAATCTATAAGATAAGGACTTCTAATAGAATATAATATCACTATAATAAGGCTTAAACTACTTAAGCAGCTTAGCTAAGATAGTAGATATAAGTGTAGATTAAAGAAGTTCTTAATTAACCTCAGTTAGAACTTATAAGTATTATATTAATATAGATCCCTATAAATATTAAGTTTAAATCTTATAAACTTAGGTATTAGATCTTATTATAGCTAGATCTTTAATATAATCTATAAAGGTATAGATATTAATATAGATAGTTATCTTACTATTTAATACTATACTTAATTAATGTAGATCTTTAAATTCTAGATTAAATATACTGATATCTATAGATTTAAGAGATTAGTTTTAGTTATTATTACTATTACTACTATAATAAAAATTTAGGGTTAATAGTAGGTTTTAGGCTTAGTTCTATCTAAATATTTTAGCTATTATAGTAGTGAAATCTTAGTTAATAGTGTACTGCTGATTCTGTATTATAGCGTTTATTATTATAACTACAGCTTCTATAGTAAGTATTTAAGGTATAGTTCCTCTTAGGTTATTAGATTTAGGTATCTTATCCTTATTCTATTTAGATCTAAATTAATGTGGATCTTAATAGGGTTCTTTAATATTAGAGGTAGGTTTCTATTTAAAAATAGATTTTAATTTAGTATGAGAATAGATAGTTTTACCTTTAGAACTGAAGTTAAGAGGTCTAATATATAGCTTATTAGATAGACTAGTTAGGTTTTTATAGAGATTAAGTTTATTAAGGCTGTTAGTTAGCTGACTAATATCTTCTAGTAAAAATAGCATAGATATAGTTTTTATTAAGGCTAATAGTAGTAAGGCTAGTAATAAGGCTTACTAAGCTACTCTTTAGGTTTATAACTTATTAAAAATAGATACTTAATAGCGTTAGTTATAAAAGAAAGCTTTAAGGGTATACTTATTATTCTAATCTACTAAGTAGATTATAGTAGCAAAAGCTAGTAAGTTAATAAGGATAATAGTTATAATCTTATAAGTAGTAATTAGGTTATTAACTATAATCTAATCTAATCTAGAAGCTTCTATAAATTATAGTAGCTATTCTAAATCTTATCTAAGATTAAGATCTAATATTATAAGGTTTTAAGTCCAGATTAGTAGTAGCTACTTAGTAATAAAATCTAAGATTTTCTAAAGATTAGAGATTATATAAAGTAATCTAATATAGAGAAGAAGATAGAAATAGATTAAGATTAATAAAATCTAAAATCTAGAGGGTGTAGGAGATAGAGTAAGTAGAAAGGTAGAGAGGTATAATTAGGAGGTTAAAAGAGGTTATTAGGTAGTATTAAAAGTAAAGTAAATAGTATAAACTTCAGTTAGTAATAAGAACTCCCTTAATAATATAATTATAGAATTAATTAGAGCAAAATTACTAATATAGTAGATCTTACGATCTAATAATATTCACATCTAGTTTTTTCTGCTAATACAGCAAGAAAAAATTAATACTTAATTAAAGCTGTAGAGCGACTTTTGTTATGCTACTACTATGAGGTATAGTACTATAAAGTGTGGTTGTAGATAGATGGATTGCTAGTATGGGACCTAATAGGGTTAATATATCTAAGTACTGCCCTGAGGGCGTATTACATAATGGGGTGGCCACAGGCCAGGCTCACAGAGTTGGTGCAAAGACGAGATGGACAGGCATCAATTGACAAGAGACGATGGGCGCTAGCCAATAGAATGCCTCGCGCTAGCGTCCCTTCGCCGACCGCCGGACGCTTGTTATGCTGTGTTCTGTCTTGGCGGTTGATATGGCGAGCAGCGTTGTGTGGCTTGGCTGACGCCTCGTCGAACGGCCTTGAGTTTCTCCAAGACTTTTGCGAGGGGAAGTACATCCCATTGGCCACCCTGGCAAGGCAAGCAACGGCCGGGTACTCCCAGGTTGTGCTCAGACGGCCTTCTAGTCTGTGTGTCATTTCCTAGCCACGGACGTTTGAGAGGCTTACTTGTATGCAGGAACCCCGCGATGATCTGAGCACGTGGCTGAGGTCTCAGTGCCTCATCCTGGAGGAGCCACCGGTTCGTTGGGGTCTGGACTCTGCCGAGCCGCAGACCGCCTTGCGGTCAGCATGAGTCCGTACTACGGACAAGCCCTTGGTTAATATCTGGTCGTGTGTTTATTCGTGGAGTTGAGCGAGTCCAGGAGCCTCCTGCGTTGAGAGGGGGCGGGATACAAGACACGAGTAATCTGAGACTGAGACAATAGGGTAAACCCGCTTCGACCCGCTTCGTAAGAGGCCGGATGTGCGAAATCTCTTTCCCTTGTAGCGTGTAGCCGAGAATAATTCGTAGCTGGAGTCTTTTGATACGGCATACTGCTTGCTCTTCGTTTTTCTCCCAATTGGCTCGTTCTCAGTTCTTTGGCTCTTCTCATGCAACACCACCATCTAGGCGCAGATAACAGCGAGGTGAAGATTTCCAAAGAAACGCTTCAATAGACTTTTCGATTTGCATTGATTATCATTTAAATTTTCATGACGCTCATAAGAAGGTTCATTTAGCGTTCTCGTATATCCGTAAGCTGGGCTGTCGGCAGGCTTACAGAATCGTTGAGCTAGGTCTTCAGAGTATCTCTGGCTATTCACTCATTTTATTCACGAAACGACAGGAGAACCCGCTAGACTAGGCTTCAAACTGATTCACAATTTTTCATGCTACTGATATCCATGAATCGGGCCAGTTGCTTGAGAATGAGTTCTTGATACGGGCCTAGTAGTAGCTGGCCGAAGTCATCATTTTCATCGCCGAGTGGAGCCCTCACTGCGTACTCAGAGTGAGTTAGGCAGGCGTCAACATTATGGGACTCTGGTCCCAGTCATTGGCTGTAATTCAAATCAAGCACCACCACGAGAATTTACCCCGCTCATTTTAATGCTTGCTCTGTCTCACACCACGTGGTTTCATGAAATTATAACACCGCCCAACCAAGCAGCTGCTACCAGCTATCCGACGATGGATGTCCAAGTAGCTCAGACGCTTTGCCGAAGATGTGATAGTCTTGATCTGGACAAAGTATTTGCTGGAAACTACGAGACTCCACAGATTGTCGCAAAACTGGGCGCCGTGCCGCATGACATGCTCTCAAGCGAATGCCCGTTGTGTCGTTTATTAGCTGAGGCAGTTCACAGACCTTTCTCAGATGAATCACTCACATCATACCACGATACTTGCGACCTCTTGTGCAATCATGCCAAGGCCGACGACCCCTTTGTCCACGGGTACTTCTTATTTGCAGACCGAGTGAACAGTAGCAGGTGGGAGGGCATCGGCCATTCAGACTACGCGCGCTATCTCGGCTTCATCCTGAATGGCGCAATGCATAACGAGGGGATGTTTTTCAAGTCCGATGTCAGCAATGCTAACGCCGTCACCGCCGCAGCCGACGACCGGTGCCCCCCGACGACGGCCGACATGGATATACCCGATGTAGGCTTCATTGCTCTGAAGGTTGGGAGATTGAAAGATGAAAAGAGTGGTGTTGCAAGTTATCTGGGAAGTATTTACCCAGTGTCAAGCTCTGGACCAAAGACGGGAGCAGGCCGGCTCGTGCCGCCCGTTATCGACTGGAATTTGCTGCGATCTTTCGTGCGAACCTGTAGAGACTCTCACGAGGCCTGCCGGTTAGCTAAAGAGGACCTCAGCATAGCCGGGTTTTGTTTGATCAATTGCATCACTAGGAGTCTTGAGCCTGCGACAGCTGAGGCGTCATACGTGGCGCTGAGCTATGTCTGGGGCCAGCCGGATAAATCGAATGACTTCCAAGCATCATTGGAGCCTTCAGACGGCCTCCCCAGCATGCCATTGGTAATCGAAGATGCGATGGACGCAGTGAGGAAAATGGGTCTCGTGTATCTCTGGGTTGATAGGTAAGCTAGAGGCTCAATGTTGGTGGGATACAAGATTAGATGCTGACAACTTAGATACTGTATCAAGCAAGATGACTGCGAAATCCTCGGCGACCATTTATCCAAGATGCATGTCATCTACCGGAAGGCTATTTTCACCATAATCGCGGCCGCGGGGAGTGATTCAGCGTTTGGGCTGCCGGGTGTCTCGATAAGAAGGCGGCAAGCACAGGCTCATGCAAACGTTGGAGGACGTCTGCTGGTCTCCGCTCTTGAGCCCTTCACAAACGCCTCAAAGAGTATCAAGTGGAACACTAGAGCGTGGACGTGAGTGTTGCATCCCGAATTCCTGCACCGCTGAAATGCTCCTCAAATTCAATCTAACTCTATCCTAACTACAGATACCAAGAGGGTGTGTTCTCAGTCAGGCAGCTTATATTCGACACCCACCAGGTCACGTTCGTATGTGCAGAGAGCCAGAAGTGTGAAAGTCTTACCCATCCGTCGGAAGTCAACACATCTTCACAGCGTCTTTTTGGTGTCCGAAATCGTTCTGCGTGGGAGCACATCTCACACTACTCAAAACGAAATCTCACGTTCGAAAGTGACGCACTCAACGCCATCACCGCCACTCTCAATGACTATAAGGATAAGTCCAAGGACGGAGCTTTCCATGCATGGGGAATGCCATTTGCGGCCAACCTTAATGTGTTAGATGGCTTGTCTCCTGGGCCCCTGAGTCACGTCACTTTCGCGTCAGAAAATGCCATCTTTGGATTCAGCTTAGCATGGTATTCGGCAAGCCCCGATCTTCGAAGACGGCATGGGTTTCCTACATGGTCTTGGTCTTCCTGTAGGGCCAATGTTGGATTCCTGAATGTACCTGACCGTACTTCGAATATTGTGTTGATGCCAGACCCGGAAATCGACGTTCGGCTCGAATATTGTGACGGTCAGATTGTATCTTTGTCAGAGTACATGTCGCAGAATTCCTCCGCTCAACTCTCTCGTTACCTACACCTGGAAGCATGGTCAGTTCGCAGCGGCTTGACGTTCCATCCTGACGAAGGGAGGGTTACGATAGACGTTGGCGATTACAAATACCACCTGACGGGAAAGATTGACCTAGAGACTCTGCCTGATGACAAGGATCAAAAGCCGATTCATGATCTCATGGTGGCAAAAGATGGGTGGGAGGCCGTTGTTGTGTTTTACTCGCCTGAAGACTACGAGTGCGCAGTCCAGCCATTCATCATCACTTTCATGAGGGTTGACGACCCCGAGAAGCCAGATGACGAGGTCTATGAACGAATTGGTCACATCAAAGGGCTTCGATTAGAAAAGATGCCCAAGAGGGGGGCAGAAAGTTACCAAGCCCCTGAGGAAGATGTCTTGGGCAAAGAAGGAATACAGAATCCCGACACAACGACCGGCGGCCAGGAGGTTGAGGCACAGGTGCCACAAAACGAAGACACTGATGATTTGGATGACGGAAGTGGGTCGGCAGACACCGCGAGCTCCTCAGAAGCTGATTCGGATGATTATGGGGATTACACCGTTAACATGGTTTTCCATCGAGAACGTGTTAAGAGCTTGTTTCCTCGGATTCCAAGGGTTAGGAAAAGGCTCGTAATAAGATGATATCATCTCTTCTGAATAAGAGATCTCATGAGGAATCTGGGGCAACCTTAAATGCCCCCCTGAATTGTCAGCCTGATAGAGATAGTGGGGGTCATTGCTTCCAGCAACAAACCCAGAGTATGATTTACTTGAGAATGTGTTGCATGCTGTATCAACATTATCAGAGAATGAAGACATTTGTGAGAGCACCAAACGCAAGACAACTTGACGCAGTGCCGTAAACTCCCGAGACAGTAGTAAGTCTACTTAAGGGCTATCAGAACCCAGACGAGTTGGATGCCTTTGGTGGAGTTACGTCAGTCTCTCAAAGAAGCACGCGTGTATGTGGAACACGGCACACGGCAAGACATGCATGCCACGCGCGTAGCCAAGTGCACTCTTCCGACGCCCCCTTTCCTTGGCCCAGACATAGCCGATGAAGTTAGGCGTCAATGATGATTGGGACACAAGGCAAAAGGGGAGTGGGCAGGCTTCTGACTGGTCCTTCCAGACTTGGTCTAGACTTTTACCCCTGGGGCCCCGGAGAATCATGACACCTGACAGCCACACACGCACCAACCAGCCAATGAAGGGAGACAGTGCCCCAACTTTGGATGCATCTGAACTGAAGAATGCTCAAGGTGCCCAACGTGATTTTGGCCAGACACATGCGTCCACGTGATCGGTTGAACACACTTGTTTATTTTCTAATTATTCTCTAATCAGATCGTGGACTTGCACGTCGCCCTCCGGCCCCATCTTGGGCATCCCCTGTCCTATTTACTTTTAGGTGCCTTTACCCTGGCGGCGGCAGAGGGGCGTCATAAGAGCGCAGGAGCTTGCTCCGACGGCCTCCTATTGGTCGGAGCCAGCGCCGCAGCCAATAGGAGCATTGCTCCGACGGACCCACCCATAGCGGTTTCCAGCGTCCCAGGGGGCAGTCCCACTGATCAGTGATCGAGATTCAGCGCTGTTGCTGTTACTGTTACTGGAAACTCGAACGACCACCGGGCTCGGGCTCACTTTGCGAACCTCGGAAGCCAATTTTCCCCCTTCGTTCGATTCACGTCCCCATCACTACTCACCCGTCATCACGCTCGTTCTGATTCAGAAGACACGGAAGAAACAGCGAGGCTTTGCGCGACGAAAGCCCCTCTCGCGGTTGTAATGTCGCTCCCTTCCAAACGTCGCCGTGTGATCCTGCCTGCTCCAGGTGCCACGACCACGCAGGCCGGGATCGTGCCGGCGCCGCAAACAACGGCAACGGTAACGACAACAACACACTCACATTCCGCCCACGGCCCAGACGGCTTCCCGATTGAGCCTTCGAGGAAGGGGTCCGATAGCAGTGAAGCAAGGAGTCCGAGTACCGAGTCATCCGGCGAAGCCAAGCCTCGGTCGGGTACTTCGGGGTCAAAGAGGCAGGTCATTGCCGTCGCCTGCGACAACTGTCGGCGGAGGAAAGCCAAGGTGAGAGAGCCTCATCCACCACCACCATCCAAGACTCGAATATTGACACTTCATCCCAGTGCGACGGCAGCAGGCCAAAATGCCAGCACTGCACAAAACGCAACGTCGAGTGCCACTATGAGGCGAACCAGGGCGAGACCGTCAGTCTCGCCCTCAAGCGCAAGGCCAACGTCCTCGAGAACGAGAACGCCCAGTACCGCGACCTCTTCCGCATGGTCTGCAGCAAGACCGAGGACGAGGCCCAGGAGATCTTCCGCCGCATCCGCGTCTCCGGGGACCCGCTCAAGGTCCTCGAGTCCATCCGCCAGGCCGAGATCCTGCTCCCCTCGCCCGCCGCCAACGAGCGCGTGAGCGATTCAAGGTTAGCCAAGCTCAACGACAAGGCCATGGAAAATAGTCTGATCCGCGTCCCCGCGAAACCCTGGACAGCCATCGCAGACGACGGGCTCGTATCTGAGCTCATTACCGACTTCTTCAGCTGGGAGAACGCTAGCGCCTTTCCCGCCGTCGACCGCGACCTCTTTGTGGCGGATATGCGGGCCGGCAACGTCAAGAAGGCAAAGTACTGCTCCCCCATCCTCGTCAACGCCATATGCGCCCTGCGAAGTGTAAGTGTGCCCACTGCTCGAGATCCAGTGCGGCGGTATCATTACCATGGCGGGACTGACGATGTGCTTTTTCAAGCCGTTTGTAGAACGAGCCAAGCAGTTTGGCGCCATTACGGGGCAAGACTTGGCAAAGCGGTTCAGAGACGAAGTCATGCAGCTAGTCGAGAAGAGCCAAGGCCGCGCGACGCTGCCGACCATCATCGCGCTTGTGCTCATTGACTGGTCAGCCAGCATTGCCGGCGATGAGCCGACGGCGAAGATGTATCGCTACATGGCGTGGGAGCGGTATAAGCGCTTCAGGCCAGAGAGGAGGTTCTCTCAGCTGAAAGAGGACGATCCCCAGGAAAGGAGCGAGAGACTTGCTATATCAAAGGCAGTCTGGGCGATTTTCTTCATGGAAAGGTAGGCCGCTCTTTGTTCTCGGCTCTCTTATGGGAGATCCCTCTAACAATGACTGGCAGTCGCATTTCATACTTTTACCACCAAGTATCATATATACCGCCTCCACCGATACCCAAACTATTTGACAACAATGGAGCGGATGCACTCGAGAACAGAGGCAATCTAGACGTGCTGGGACGGCCATATCTGGGATCGACAACACAGATCCCCCTGGTCCCTGGGATAGCCACCATCAACAGCAATATTGCATGCCTTCAGTATGAAATCATGCAATACATAACATCAGGAGACAACATCAAAGGCAGTAAAGAAGATCTAAAACGGAGGAAGAGCCTCTATTGCAAGCTCCAACAGTTCAGGGCGGATCTCCCTAAGCGGTTTCGCATGGAGTTCAACTTCACTCCCTCCACCGCCTTCCTCAGGTGAGCCGCTGTTGTGCCTATCTCATATTTTTCAGAGCTAACCACACACGCAGGATGCACGAAAACGAAATCGCCTACGTCCTCCTCACCTCCCTCCATCCCTCTACCAAATTCGACACCCCATTCACAGACACGGCCACCACCGTCAAATCCCTTACCCTACAGCACTGCCTCTCCGACACAACCCTCGCCGAGGCCTACCTCCAAAAGTACACCGTCAGCTCCTACACCACGCGCCAGCTCTTCGTCACGATGCAGGCCCTCATCCCCTTCCTCAACGACGGCCACGCCGCCACGAACGACCTATTCACCCGCCTCTGCATGATGGGCGGCCTCACCGCGCGCGTCGTCCGCATGACCGTCCACCTGCTGCAGGCCGCGCAGGCCATGGCGTGGGCGATGAAGCAGGACATTCCCGAGGCCGCGAAGCCGTACCTCGAGCCATGGGTCAAGCTCGCGATCCAGGAGAGCGAAACGACGAAGCCGCCGAGCTACTCGGTGCCCGACAGGGACGAGATCAAGCAGCTGCTGGCCGAGAGCGATCGAGCCGTCGCTGGGCCGAACGAGGGCAGCGGCGCCGAGCTCTGGGCCTTGGTGGAGAAGTGGGTTCTGAGTGGTGGCTCAAAGTGAGGTCCTGCAAGCTCGATTGTTTTGTTTATGTACAGATGGCATTGAGCCTCTTTGATACAGATGTATGAGCTGTGTTTTTGGTTTTTATGCATTTGAGAGCGAACGAAGCATGTCATCATTCCATTGTCATTTCAGCCCGGTTTGTTCTAGCCATGTTGATTTAGTCTGCATAGCTCGGCGTTTCCATGTGGTAGAGTACAAGTACTATCACCAACTGTTTATCTGCACGAATCGCGATATTCTCCTCCACTTGCAATATCACTCTGTGATCGCGGGAATAATGGATAACATGCACCGTCTGCTGATTGCGTGCCCGTCTCATCACATGACGTCACATGATAAGATGGGGAACCTCGAGCGGCCCCGCGGGCAACATTGAAGACAACGTTATCTCATCCTATACCAAACACTAAACTCAGAAAACTCACTTTGCTTGTAGACAACTGATCTGCTAGGACTCAGCAACACTTAATTTTTTGCTTCTTTCCAAATCTCACAACAATGGCCGAGCCATCAGACTACCTCATCCTCGGCGCAGGCGTCTTCGGCGCCTCAACCGCACTCCACCTCATCCGCGCCTCGCCCCGCGCGCGCATCACCCTCGTCGACCGCAACGCCGCCGCCGCGCCCATCCGCGTCGCCGCCTCCTGGGACTGGAACAAGGTCGTGCGCGCCGACTACGCCGACATAGAGTACATGCGGCTCGCGCTCGAGGCGAAGGAGCTCTGGGCGGCCGACCCGCTATGGGCGCCGTTTTACCACGAGAGCGGCGCCAGCTGGGTCTCGCCGTCGGACTTTTCGCAGGTCGTGCGGGAGAATTATAAGATCCTGGGCGTGGAGTCAGGCTTGGAGGCGCTGAGTGTGGAGCAGGCGCGGAGGGAGTTTGGAGGCGTGTTTGAGGGCGGGGATTTCACGGGCGTGAGGGAGGTGTTTGTGAATCGGAAGAGTGGCTGGGGGGAGGCGAAGGAGGCGCTTGAGGCGACGATTGCGGAGGCGGTGAGGTTGGGGGTGCGGTATGTCCAGGCGGAGGTTGAGAGGTTGGAGTTTGATGGCGATGGGGCGACGACGGGGGTTGTTACCGCGGAGGGGGAGAGGATCACGGCGGGGAAGGTGGTGTTGAGCACGGGGGCGTACACGGCGCAGTTGTTGGCTGATAGCGGGAGGGAGGAGGTGCTGGCTGGGGAGAGGTTTGTGGCTGCGGCTGTGACGGAGGGGTTTGCGCCTGTGGAGGACGAGAAGCTTTACGGGGGCCCGGTTGGGATTTCGATGGTGCCCCCTGATCGGGGTGAGTTTCGAGTATGATGGTGTTTGGGAGTTGTGTGTGACTGACGATGGTGTTCACGACAGGTGCGAGCAACGGCAGCGTTCCTCACTCGGGCGACAAGACGCTCAAATTCTGGGGGCAGATCATCTTCAGGAACACGCAGCCCCACGCGAACGGGTCGCAAATCTCCAGGCCGCCGTCTGGGCCCGACTACGCCCAGCTCGATGTTCCCAAGTCTCTGAAAGAGGATGTCGACTTTGCTGGGAAGAGCATCTACGGCAAGCTGAGCGACGATTGGAAGGTGGAGAACTACCGTATTTGCTGGTAAGACTTGTCAACATCGTGATGCTGCGGAAGACCACGATGCTGACATTTGTGTTTGTAACCAGGGAGGCCGTCTCGCCCAGTGAGGACTTCATCATCTCGCCGCACTCCGGGAGCAAGAACCTCTACGTGGCCACGATCGGCTCGTTCCACGGGTGGAAGTTCCTGCCCGTCCTCGGCAAGTATGTGGTGCAGATGCTCCAGGGGACTTTGGAGGATAAGTTGGCCAAGAAGTGGGCGTGGGATAAGACGCTCGTTCCGCCGACTCACAGCGCGTGGCCGAGGAAGGAGCTTAGTGAGCTGAAATAATGGGCATTCTCCAACGAGGTGTGTTGTGATGCCGTGTAAATAGGGACGTGTCGTTTTCATATGCGGAACTTGAGAGGCTTTTCGTGGAGGCATGATGAGAGAGACTCATTCCGACGCTGAATACCTTATGATTGAAGGGGCTAAGACCGTTGTAGGTTGCCTTAACAGAGGTTATAAGCTGGAAGGATAAGATGCTCCGAGACGGCAATTCCGTTCTCGAGGAAGTCTCTTCGCCGGCTTTGACCACGTGATGTGTCGTTGGGCTTGAATGATGACCTCGCGAGGATTCAAGACACGACGCGCCGAGAATGCATTTGGTGCAAAGCTGTTCGGTGTACCAATGAAGTGCAGGGTGAATTCGCACAAAGTCTAGAATTCTGAACAGAACATGTCCATTAAACGAAGGTAAACTGCACAAATTGCCCTCTGGAAAGTATTTCTGACCCGCGTTGATATCCCAATTTGGATGACTTGAGCCTAGACAACTCCGATTCGGGAGAAGGACTTGTTGGAGTTCTTGATACCCCGGCACTCAGCCCGCCACCAAAGCCAGCTAGTCGGAGACTAACGGCATAGCGCCCACACTATTACACAGCTGCACGAGTGACCTAGTGCCGGAGAAGTTAGGTACCGAGCGCCACGCCTGTCAAAAAGCATGCGGCCCGCTCTGCCTCAACCGTTCGAAATGGTGGCCAGACCGTGTCCGGGGTCCCGTCTGCCCCGGTGGTACACATGGCAAAGTGGATTTGGGCAGAGTCTGGAATGCGGAGGAAGTGAGATGCCCCTGTCCGCTGAAATACCCATGCCATTCAGCTACGGGATTCAGTCTCAGAAGATGCTTCTTCCCATTACCCTTTTCAGCTATGGGCATGTCTAATTGGGAACATACAAGGCTTGTGTTGAAAAGCGGTTTAGAGGAACTCGGGCTTGGCGAGACCTCTGCAACTCAGCAACTCCACTTCACCATGACTATCTTTTCTTTGCATGCTTCTGGAACCGCCGAATGGAGAGTTCCACGAAAATGGATTTACGCGAGGCATGGGATTCAGCGAAGCGAGGTGATGGGGCTTCCTTAGCTTTCACGATGTTCAGCTGGGAGACCCTATGTTCAAGACGGATAGGCTTGGTGAACCTCTCTTCCTGTCAGCTGGACCATTCCGATCCACTTCTGGCGATATCGTATTCAAATTGGGCTCTGTTGCTTCAACTTCATACCCGATGACAGTCTATAAAGTCAGCCCACCCTGAGGAGAATGACATTGGTCCTCACTCTCTCGACAGTCAGAACAAACAAGGCCTTCCCAAAACTCCAGAGACTCTACCACTTCTCTTGCTTCTAACCTTGGAAAGTCTTGACCACCATGAAGTCCACTCTCCTCAATGCGCTCGTCAGCGGCATCATCGCCAGCCATGTAGCCGCCTCCCCCATGGACGAGCTTCTCGGCCGTCAGGCAACCTGCGCCCGCGACAACTGCTTCCGCGCACTCCTCGGCTTGAAGCCAGGCCCAGCCTCCGCCTCCGCAGACTGCTCTTCCTTCATGCAGATCACCCAGACGCCGTGCCCCTCCACCGTCACCGAGACCGCCACCATCACCTCCTTCACCACCACCCTGAGCAACCCCTACCCGGGGCTCCGCAAGCTCAGGCGCGAGGAGATTGAGGCCCGGCAGGCCGTCACCACCTCTGCTGCCAGCCCGTCTTGCGCGCCCTCGCAGAACAAGCCAAGCAGCATGCCCTCCTACATCCAGACCGCCTGCCAGTCCACCATCGGCACCCTTGGCCCCACGGCGCGCTACTCCTCCGCCTGCTCCTGCAACGGCATCACCGCCGCAACAACCACACTTCCCGCCGCAACCACAACCGTAACGACCACCAGCACCGTCCTCGCCGCCTACACGCCCACGAACACGCCTACACCCTTCATCCTGCAAGGCAGTGGCGACAGGAGCCTCTACGTCACTTCCGACAGCGACGGCGCCCTCCGCCTCGTCCGCGACGCCTCGGTCGCCACGCCCTTCTACGTCGACAACGCCGGCCTGCTGCGCAACTACAACAGCCCGTCCAAGCTACTCATGGACTTCTACCTCCCGGATCCCCCGACGGCTAATGACAGGGTGTTTAGCGCCGAACAGGGCGCCGGAGGGTATCCCATCACATGCACCTACACTGGCCGCACGAACGGCGCTTACTACGGCAACTGCCAGTCGAGTGGTTCGCCTAGCGGAAACCCCGTCACCTACGGCTTTGGGTACTGCCCGAACCAGGGCGGGTTTGTGTACATGATCCCGAACAACTCCAATGTGCGCTGCGCTGGGGGTTATGCTTTCCTTGGGTTTTGGCTGCAGACGTACGGTGGTAACTGAGCTGGTATTAAAGCGTGGAGGATGCTATTGATGGTTCAGCTTGACATCAGCTTTAACTACACATTTCGTTCTTATGTTTATTGCCTAGATTTAAGCAGTAGTATGACTTGAATTCAATCGCAAACTTTATAATGCAGCGATAGGCTCCTTCGCCGATTGAATACATGCCCCCTATTGCTAGGGTTGAGCCGGCTTCTGGCCATAAACAACATGACTAAATCAAAATCAGCAACATACTCAAGAATCATGACCAACGCAACTTACATATCAAACATCGCATGAAACGAGTTGCTCTTCAGCTCCTTGCGCACAAGCGCCAGCTGCACCGCAATCTCCGTCTGCGTCTTGCCCAGCATCTCCGAGAACAGCTTCACCGACAGCGCCTCCAGCCCGTTGAGCGTCAGGATCAGGTTCATCATGCCAAGCTCGCTGTACCACTTGTCCTTGGGCCAGGGCCCGAGCGGCGCGCGGATGCGGTCCGCGACGACGTTGGCGAACTGCGCGTCGCGCACCCAGCCCTCGAGCTTCGGCCCGACGCTGGGGTCGCGCCCCGTCGCGCAGCAGGCCTCCATGAAGCCGTTCATCCACTTGGCCGTCGCGGTTTCCGAGGAGTAGGTGTCGTCCTGGGAGTAGAAGGTGGTGTTGACGTCTTGGAACTCGGCCCAGCCTCCTGGGGCAAGGTTGCTAAAGTTGTTATTAGTGTTTTGTTTCCGCTGTGGTGAGGTGAATGAGGCATGAGT